AAAAAATTCTGTGGTTTTAGAAATAGGTAATATTCTGTTTTCATAGATGCAAATACAACAAAATGTGTAACTGAAGTTTGATTGCCTAATATACAAATGACTTAAATTTATACAACTCAGTACAGTGTTTGTTAGATTGGTTCTGAGCACTGTAACTTGGTTTTGATACAATTTTATAAGTTTGGTAGAGGACACTAACAAAAACAACCATAATGTGTTTATGGCTGTGTGCTTCTTAAATTAGATATTTCCATGGAGCCACTAGCACAAATACTTAAAAGATCACTTAACGGAGTTGCAGTATTTTCTCTTATCTATATGTGAGAATACTTTGCTTCCTCTGTCAAGAGGAAATATAGCAAAAAGTGATGGATATCATCAAGAAATTCACATTTTACTTTGGTCATTAAGTGTGTCTTAAATACATCATTGAGGAGAAGTAAATGTTTCACAGGTCTTTGAACTCACAATCCTGCAAACCTGCATGAAAAGTCTATTTTCCTACTTCTACATGACAGTTAATAAAAACCTTTCATTCTTCTCCAATATGATTAAATTAAAATCTAATTTCAGGTACAGACTTAACAGAGTAAGACCTCAGAATTTTTTATGCAGTCATTTCCATTTTCCTTCAGAAATTGAATTAATGCTGGTGAAGAAGCAAAATCTAATATATAGTGTCAGAGGAGCTAATAAAAAAACTCTGTTTGAATAACAATAAAGGATAATTATGGAATTTGAATAGTCAATAACTACCAGTTTTAAAATGGAAATGGTAGTATAGAAAAGAAAGTGAAAACCATTAATAGATTTATATACTATTTATTGAATCATGAAATTATACTTGATTATATTTTGCAAACAGATCTTCACTGGCTTAAAGATACAGGCTTTGTGATGGCCTTTTTACTATCATAACTGCAGCCATAGCCAAATTGTTTTTAGTGAAGGATATCTTACTGACCATGAGTAGGGGGGAACTGATTTCTGGTTATCATTAAGTTTTGAAAATGCTTTCTGGAGTGAGAGTATAATTCGTGATATGCAGAGGATCATGGAAATGGTATATCCTGTACACTGGTATGCTTGGATTTTCTGCAGTTAAACAAATGTGCCCATAACTCAGTATGAACTTTTTTCCTGATTTCATTATGCCTGTGATTATAGCTACTACAATTTTCATGGAATAGACTGTTTTTCTTTGTTGCTGATGTTAACTAATGACCTTCCATTTATACTTGAACTAAGGCATATGTCATATTGATATTGCTTCCTTGAATGATAAAATAATTGAACAAATGGTAGACTATTGAGTGCAAGCATTACCAATTTATTTTTTGATGGAGAGAGTTATTAATCTTAAATAGGTTTTAGTAGTTTCTTACAGTATAACTATCTGCTGTGACAAAAATGTTACAGTAATCATACTCTTGAAATAACTGGTTATTTCTTCTCCTGAAATAGACCTATAACTTATCTGGGCTTTCAAATTGCAAGGTTATTTGTGGAGTTAAAATATAGCTGTCTCAATAGGTATTCATTTAGCTCAACTGACTCTTGACATATATAGAAGAGAATTTTTGCCAATTCATCTGGATTAAATGAGTCAATCTCCAAAACAGTCTAAGGGTGGAGAATCAGTCTCAGTAGGTTTACTTTGCATTGTATTCCTCCGTTTGATAACAGGTTTTCACTGATGTGTTTACTTGTTTTATGAGTTGATTTTGAAATGTGGTAATACATTTCTGCACATTTGTTCTAATGTGGAAAGTTGAATATTAGGAGATAAAGGCTCTTTTGTATTTAATGACTTTCATATCTATTACTATTTCTGATTTAGTTAAATATGTATGTGACTAACAAAGATTGTAAGAAAACAACTGCTAAGGATGTCTTTTTCCTAACATTTCATGGAAATCTCATGTCAATTCATAGGCTCAATTAAGAATTTAGAACAAATTCAAACAGTTGGAACATTGAATTCATTGACAAATTGAATTCATGAATGTTTTACATGTTGATTATTCCTTCATGGCACATAGTAAAACTATGTATGGAAATGAAAATGCTAATGAACTAGAAAGAGGACTGAACTAGATAGAAGTTTTGGAGTCTTGGACTCTTGTCCTGGCCAGCCTGAACTGGTTGTTGAGTCTCAGTCTCTGAAACTGTTCCCTTATCTTTAAAAGAAAGTCATCCATAAAGCTGATAATATTTTTTAAATAATATAACAGCTTATTTTTACATCATTTTGTACCTTTTTTCCTGATATTTAAGATTGCAGGCACTGGGTTATATAAAACATGTCTAATACTGCTTTACAAAACACAGTAGACATATGTAAATTTATATACAACTTACATACCAATCAAGTTTTATACTTCATATACTAGAAAGCTACAAAGAATTTAACTTGAAATAGTAACAAATACCTACCACTTGCCAATAACAAAGAAATACTGGATACTGTCAGTTTGTAAGATATTCATAGCTCAAATCAGAACAATGTTATCAATGGCCTTAAAGAGAAGAAGTAGTTATATTTCACCAAAATCTAACTGGATCTGGTAATAAACAGTGCCAGTTGTCCATACAAGCTCTAGATCACTGAATTCACATCTGAGCAAGCAATATTTAGGCTAGTATGTCTTAAGTCAAGGCATTATTGACATTTGGGGTCAGATCACTCTGGGGTGATCTGGGAGGTAGGAGGTAGGAGGGAATGGGGTTTATCTGTGCATTGTAAGCTTTTTAATATCACCCCTTGCTTTTACTTATTGTGTGGCAATAACATTCACCAAGTGTGATAACCAAAACATGTCTGACAACTTCAGAATGTTTCCAAGAGGTCAAAATCACTCCCACCCTGAAAACCAGTAATGTAAGAATTATTTAACGAAGCATTTTCCTAAACACATTTAAATAAACATTATACCCTGGTTGCTATGTTGTAAATGTTTTAAGAAAAGCAAAGGCATTTTGTGGTCAAATTTAAACTGTATTATGTAAATCCAAATTAATTTTTATTTTAAACTGCAGAACTTATCAGGGTCATTTATGTTTATATGTGCTATGCATATCAACTATACATTGCAAAGTGCATTTTTTTATGGGCAGGTTTAATATAAAAGGAGAAAAAATAAAGTATATTTGCACAGACATAAATGGGCAGAAAAAGCTGTCCTGAAAGGGGTTTGCAAAGAGAAACACCTCATAATCACAGGTAGGTGGGGGAACTGCTACCCAAACTTTATTTTTGACTTCTTAAAATCTGCAGATATTTCTTTTCTAATCAATTCTGATAAGAGTCATGCTAGATATTTGGGTAAATGGTGATCTTTTTAGACCACCCAATATATAAAGTCATAATATACTCCTTTCACCTTCCACCCACTGTAATTTCACTGGTACTCTAGAGGGTGACTTGATAAAAGTTTAGTGATAATTCCAGATTTGTAATAAGGAGAAAGTAGATTTTTGGAAAAAGCAGTTCCAGTTCTTTCGCTATTTCCCAAGAGGGAGCCCAGTCCTCAAAAACCAAATTCCAAGATTGAAAAGTATTTATGGATCCCTGGTTAGAATAGAGTACCCCAAGGCCTGTCATATCCAACAATAAAATTATTTTTGTACATTTGTACATTTAAAATTAGACATTAGACATTTCTAGTCTGTGTGAGTCTTACTCCAAGGAAATAGGAAAAAATGGAGCAAAAACTGTTT